AGGCACTAACGCAGTAGTTTTGACCATTCCAGAACCAGTGGAATGGTCGTTGCAACTGCTGATGAAACTGTTAGAAAAATTGACCGTTGCAGAACAACGGAAGAAATAAATTAAACTTAACTTGAATTCCGTTCCGAATTTCAAATTCGCATTGGTACACAATGTTTGGGTCTTCTTTCGAGCTCAGAGTCAGGAATGGTCCTCCGAAGCCCGCTGTAGCCGGTTGAGACGGTAGTTGTCCGCTGTTAGGATCATTAATCTTCTGTTTAGTGGAGACGATACATCTGACCTTCACTCATTCTGCACTCCACGCCATGAACACCATTGAGGAACTGCTTCGAATGGGTCGCCGTACATCCATTCACACCAGTGCTCAACGAAGAGACAATGGGGCAGCTGCAGCATTCGTGGTGTATGAAATCATATTTTACAAGGTGACAATGCCATGAACATCACACCGAATACAACGGTGGTTATCCTTATCCTAGCACAAACAAGTGAAACTGTAGAACTGGTACTTTTAAGAGACACTCAGCAACGTCGGGATGAGAAAGGGAAACAGCAGCTTGATAAGCTTCTCTATGTGCAGGCAGTCACATTGCGATAATGTTGGTCAAATTCTTGAAGGTGATAGAACCGTCGCCGTTCGTAGGACAGTAAGACAGTGCCATTTCAGGTTCGCAGCCGAAACCACCCTTATCAGGCCAACCAAACGACTATCGCTCATCTTGAAGCTCCTTTTGTGATTGGGTGAAATATGATTGGGCGCTTTAATAGACTGTTGCACTCGTACACTGTTCATAGAGTTTAATAAGGCAAACATATATTTAGCAGAATTGATATTAAATTAAGCTCAAAAGATGTTCTCCAACGAGGACTCGACAATCTCTTAATGAACATTGCAGGCACGTACTCATGCGCATCAGGTATGATTGGATGAGGATATGTCTTTTGGTTCTACGAATAACAAATCAAAAGAAAATGAATAAATAAACTTCATTTATAAAAAAACCCACGTGCATTATGCCCAAAAATCATCCTCCATTTCTCCTTGTCTTCTTGTTAGTGATCAAAGTAAGGAATTGCACATCAGGGTGAAGTAGACAGAGCCTTTTCACTTTTAGCCACTAAAGAAAACCTAAGAGGCATCAAGAAATTTAAAACGTTTGGCCAATAAAGCCATGGTGGATTATTTTAAAATCCCGATTAATGAACAAAACTACACAGGGGTTGGAAAGCGGATGTTCAGCCAGTCGGCAAATGAGGTCGCCTCCATTGAGGTCAATGACGTCCTCAGATTTACAAGCAGGCATTTGAACAATCTGCAGTAATGTGGTTGCCATACCACGCTCTACGCTTCACTTACTCCAAATGGACAAACTATACAGGGACAGCCAACCAGAGGAAATATGAACTGAAACTCTTGCACAAGAGTTTCAACTTCTAGCTCGAGAGCATTCCTGCGATGGGCGCAACGCACCGCATCCGCTGCGGGCACTTCATATATGAGATTCTGACCGTAATGTCATCGGTTATCATAATGGAATGAGGCATTTTTTTTATTAAGTTTCTTGGTGCTACCATCACCAAGTAATATTTCACTGGAATTTTTGCCTTTTATTGCACTACTTTTCAGTTTCATGATAAAAGCCTTGAGCATAATGCTGCTAATACACAAGTTACTACCATCCAGGACTAGTTGTGCTCACCTACACGTTGCATTGTTGGCATGTTTTAAAGTTATGGAAGCAGTTTCATAATCGGATCTGGGTTTACGGACTTTAGGTCAAAGTGTTTAATGGTTATCGTGAGAAGTTATTAGTGCCATAAGATAGAATTTCAGGAGTAAATCCATTTGTGATTTCCATGTTAGACGCTTATTGTTTCTATCTGAGGCAATGCGGTCATGTGACGTCAGGCAAAGAATTTCAGAACGGGGATTTCATGCGTGGGTGATCTCAAGTCAGAGTACTTAAACGATCTACCTTTTCTCAATGATGTTTATGTCCTACAGTAGCGAATTCCCTCTTAAATTTTGGAACATGCCGACGACACTGCGATGCTTTGCGTCGTTCAAATGCTTGAACAGTTTCTAGCAGGAATGTGATTTGAGGCATGATTTCAAATGCAAGAAATTTAGTTAACTGCTCTTCCGGTTCCTCGAAACTCGCAAGTGAGACTTTGCATAACTCGGGTAACCAAGATTTCAACCTACAGTATCTGTGTTACGCCACACCTGAAACGGTTAAGTACGTACTGCAGATCCATAAACATAATCTGTACTAAAATATGTACCTATGCATGACGGCTTGAAATTCTGGATATAGTTTTTCTTGCTTAGAAAGCGGACAAAAGGGGCATGACGTAGGGAGCACTAGAACCATTCGCAAAGTTCTGCATCCTTTACTTTTTTTGCCACGAAGTCCACGAACTTCTGGACAACAAACTGGACGACAGTACCCTAAGATCAGACATAAAGTAAGTGGAAGAAAGACCTGGTCGATAGCGGTAACACGTCGATATCTTCTCGGATTTAGCTGTCTTCTTGAAATCAATGAGATAAGGTCAGGAATACAGCTTCAGCTATAAAATCGTTGGTGCATAATGGCGCTAACCTTCCGGAAAGAATTTAAGCTAGCTAAGAAGAGCATTGCGAAAATTATCTTGGTTCAAATGGCTGAAGACCAGAAACGCACGCACGATTAAAATGTAAATCAGTCATTGTTTCGGTCTAGTGTCTGATGGCTGATGAACTATACGGAGACAATGCACCAACCGGATGATAAATCAGCTAACAGCCTCTGAAATAAGTGTGTGAATTTGTAAATGGCTAAATACAGTTGTAAAAGACACAAATGAAAACAGAATAGTAAGAGATAGAAGAATGGGATTCCGATATAAAACGTTCGTACTGAAAAATAGCACCAAACAGTATATTAATGCACAACGCTATAATGCAATTGCTTGATTTTGTGTTCGACTATCGACCTCTTAAAGCATGACCTGAGGATCAGGCACAACAGATGTGACCAACACGTAAACAATGTATAGAGTACAACAATGTTCAGTTTTGAGGGCTATGTCGAGCTTCAGCAAATAAACCAACAATCAGTCTCAAGAGGCAGGAGTCAAACCTATTTCATCCTTCTATCCACAACATTACATTTATCATCAGCTACGTTTCCATGGCGCAGATCGCACAGGTCACCGAGACGCCGTAAGGCTTAAGACTTCCTTTTCGATTACCATCGGTCATTGCTTATAATTTGCCATCTAAAATGTTTTCTTCTCGCAGGTTAGCCTGGCCTGCACAAATATGTGGTCACCGCCGGTGTTAAGCGATGACAGTACTGTTATATCCTGGATGATGCGGGGCTTATCGAACGGGGCGAAATCCAAACAGTTTTTCGTCACGTGTTGGGCGCTTCCGTGTCCACCTCCTGTTGGTCGTTTTCTTGAATGAAGTGTTGTCAGTGCACAGGTACTTTGTTTCCACATGATTCCATGGTCACCACATGATTTCCTCGTTCATTTCTCTCATTTGCTTTCTGCCGACGGATATATTTCTTACCGTCCATTCCATGACTGACGTTTGCTCTGAAATGTCCAATGAGGAGGATATACTATGACTTTGGAACTAATGCTTGTTCCAACTCTTGAAAAGATTCTTTCGTTTCGTCCTCGTCAGCTGCACTTCGAGGGAACACAATTGTGGATCTTTATGGTGCTCTTTTTGTCCAGCTAAAGGCAAATCACATTTACTCTTGATGATTTCACATGGCTGTAGACGACTTAATGAGAACCAGCTTTGGTTGACCATAAATCTGTTTCTTCCGATGTTCTTCGAGCCCTATTTTCTTCCTAAGCCAAATGGAACTGTCGCCTTTTCAGATGCTATTCACTAGTTTCGCCGTCGTTTTTTTGCACAAGATGTCGCAGACCATCCCTGAATTTTTCTTTATTAGTTGATTTGTAGATTCTTCCCTCATCGATGTGGGTCAGTTCTACAGATGGCGTTGATCGTCCGGGTCCATTTAGCAGATGGCTGTCCCTCACCCCCTCACACATGGACTCTTAGAAACCTCTCGCCAGTCGACTCCGAACGACCGTCGTGGAACATGTCGAGAGACGCATGGAGTGCTAAGACTCATTTATTGTGTTGTCAGAGCGCATGAAGTTTATCCTGCCTTTTATCAGAGTTGTTTCTTCTAACCCTCTGACGAACTAATGTCTAAACGCATGGCAGGATGATATCGGTGACCTTTTTTCTTCAAAGACGATGGCCGGGTTCGTATCGACATGACACTCTCATTAAGCATTATGACTTGCTTGCGGATCAAGCATGTCGAGCTCGAATCCTGCTATACCGCAACTGCTTAGTTGTCGCAGCTGACCCGTCCTCCCCCACATCTGAGAGTATTTTCCCTCTCTGCAACCTGGGGGTGTCATAGATGACGAGGCACACTGGGCCGATCAACTCCTCGCAACAAAATGCTTAAGAAAGGAGCTGATGGGAGGAGCATAGATTTGCGCTAGTAAGCGGTTACAGCTAGGATAAGTCGCAAGAAAAATCCATCTGAAATACTGTTTAACGGCGGACGGATTGTTTAAATTAGTGATTGCGTAATAGATTAAAATGGGATTACTGTTGCTTTGGTTTAATATGTAAATTATGCCATGTACTGTGTTTAAGTGTTTACGCTTTAAACAGGATCTTCGCTGTCCTAGATATTCATTTCATACCCAGACAACTTACGAGACGTCGCTTCTTTCCGTTCTCTGAGTCTCGGCGAACATCTCGGTCTCTTTACTCCGGTTCTACAGAAACGAACGTACGTAACGACTTCATTCCTATATCTCATTGAAAGCTTGGTTATTTTTTACGGCTCATATGCTTATGTTCCATGGACTATTTTTGTTCTATATGCTCACTGACATTTTTTGTTCATTCATGCGTTATGTTTTTAGTGTCGTCGACACAATGAATCCAAAGAACGTTTCTACGGTTTCTGTCATCGTATTGGTCGTGCTTGGATTATGCAATGCTGCCGTTGTGAAGCCTTTCAAAGCTGATCATCCAGATGAGAATAAAATGATTACTCGCATTAAGCGTGCAAAAGCCGCAAAAGACAGACCTACTTGGAGTCCTTCGATATACAACGTTTTCCATAAATGTGAGGGCGACTATGAACGATATTATTGCTTCAATGGTGGTACGTGCGTACATGAATACTTCGAGGGCGCTTATGATACCCACACTTGCACATGCCCAGGGGATACGTTTGGTCATCGCTGCGAATACTTAGAGTCTCTTGCTAGATTTTATCGTCCCGTAAAAATGCCACCGTACGGTGCAGCTGAACTTAGCCCTTTGCTGACTGTGCTCATCATTGCAATAGCAGTCGTTGTGGTGGCGATTGTAGTGGCTATGTTATACTTCAGACGACGAACCTAGAGAAGCAAGCAACACTCAGCCTGCCGATAGCATAACGTCTAACACTGTCTGGCGCGCACCACTGGAAACTGCCGAAACTTTCGCAAACAGGCGACATCGTAAAGCACAGCTGTTTGATTTTCTAGTTATTAAACGGCTAATAACGAAATGCATTCGCAGACTGATCAGTAAAAATATTTTCATAATCGAAACAATCTTCTGACTATAGCGAGATCGAAATTTGACTTATTTCCTGCAAACCTTCGCAGAACAATTTTCTGAACCGTAAAGGCTATTCACAATCCGCCGTTGCCGGTCCCAAACCCGGCTGAAAAAGAAGGAGGGCCAGAGACCGTGGCAAGCCTCCGTAAAATTTTGCCACCTGCCACTCACGGTATTGACGCCATCGAAAATTATACCGGCTCGGTCGTCACCCGGCTTACCAAGGCACACTGCGAAAAGTCGGCGATCGGAACCTGCTCATTGCCCTCTGCCAGCTGAGGTGTAGGAGCACAACAACGACTGAGAATATCCACGG